GGCTCCCACATCTAGATTGTCTAAATTTTAGGGAGACCCGCTCCCTAATCCTACTCAGTATCGCACCATTATCGGGGCCCTACAGTATGTTACACTTACATGTCCAGATGTGGCATTTACGGTGAACAAAGCTTGCCAATTCCTTCAGAACCCGACAAATGATCATTGGATGGCAGTGAAACGTATTCTGCGTTATCTCAAAGGCACAATTGAGTATGGACTATTTTTTGCATCTAATTCTCCAAGGTATTCAGTTGCTTTTTCAGATGTTGATTGGGTCGATTGCCTTGATGGCCACCGGTTTACTAGCGGTTATGGTATTTTTCTTGGGTCTCATTTAATCTCCTGGATTGCGAAGAAACAACCCACCATTGCCCGTTCTAGCACTGAAGCCGAATTTCTTTCATTAGCTAACTTCACAACAGAATTGCTATGGCTTCAGTCCCTACTACGGGATTTAGGTGTTCATTAGTCTATTCCGCATATTCTTTACTCTGATAATATTGGTGCCACGTACCTAGTAGCGCATCCGGTGTTTCACACTCATACCAAGCACATCGAAGTGAACTTTCATTTTTTGCGTGATCATAATCTCCGTAAAAATATGGATGTTCGATATATCTCTACTGATGATCAGTTGATCGATATCTTTACCAAACCTCTTGCTCCAGTTCAGTTTGATTTTCTCCGATCCAAGCTTCATGTGCTTCCCACCCCGTTTCGCTTGAGGGAGTGTATTGAGGAAAGCTCTCCAGAAGGTAACTCCATAAGATTAGCAGTTACCAATGGAGGCTCTCTCAATCCAGAATAGCAGCTGCTAATAAAGGATCTTTAGCAGCTACCAATTTTAGATCTCCTCCAGTTACCAATGAAGGCTCTCACACAGATTTGAAAACCACTAAATTAGAAAGAATAATTAATTAGAAATCTTTGTACATAGGCAACTGCCTATTCTATTCTTAGTTTCTTTATTTTATTCTTTGATCTTTGTGTATATATAATGTACCCATTTCAGCCTAGTCGACAGGTCAAGCAATACAACAATTCTTTTATTTTTTATTTTCTCTCTTCTATAATTTTATCTATAGGCACAGAGTATTGGGGTAGGTGCCAGCTCGAAATGATGCCAATTCACTCGCGGACATTGATGCATAGAGTGTGGGTTGTTGCCATTTTGAATGTTTATAGCTCTATAGTGGAAATAAAAAATATGCATTAGGCCTGTCCATACTTCTCCGAAAAGATTGATTGTGCCCAAAGCACAACAACATCCACGTGACAACTTCGACCAGTTGAGACAACCCGAACACAAATGAAGCCTCAATTGCAATGAAACCTACAATAAAATATGATATATAATCATTTTCTTGAGATGAGTGCCATGAAGCATTGCAACGAAACCCAACTCTTCTTCCTCTCTCCGTACATCCTCTCATGTATATTATGCATTTAAATTCATCCTTTTTGAAAAGAGTATAAATACAAATATGTACCACTTCCAAACTAAACCTTAATTACATTTCCACTGCAAATGCTCTTACATTGTTTTTGAGCCCATTGCAATTGTGCATAAATCATGAAGCCCATTGCATTGTTTTGTCAATTCGATGTTTGTATGTTTCAAACAGACATTTTGGTTTTATTGTGGTCTAGAACTTGAAGTTTTTGAGTTCTTGTCTTTATCCCTCTCTTAGTTACAATCTGAAACTGAGAAATTGAGAAAATCATTATAGGGGTTTTATCATTTATGTGGAGATTATTAGAGTGATAGCAACTATTGGGGGGAAAGGCATTTCAATGAAAAGGCGGGACTTGTAGTATCGACTTTTGTTTAAGGATAAATTGCTAAATGCCTAGTTATTTGAATTCGGATCGTTGAAATGGTTGAACTCGATTCGAGCTAGAGACTTGAGCTTGAATTTGGCTTGACTCAAAAAAAGTTCGAGTTTTGCTTGAGCTTGACTCTAAGCCATGCTTCCTATATATAAAAAGTTAAAATTATACATATAAAAATTGTTTTTTATTTCATATATAAAAAACTTAAAAATTATAAAATTATTTATTATTATACATAAAAAATAAAAATAGTATATATGTATTATACATATAATAAAAGTTTTAGCAAAGGAACTTATGTATTGGGCTTAAGCTTAACCGAAGCTTGGTTTAAACCAAGTCAAATTGAGCTTTTGACGAGTCGAGCTTGTGAAAAAACTTGACTTGTTTCCAGCCCTAGTTGCAAGTAGACCCCCTCTCTTAAAATCCTACAACAAGAGGCACAAAAACATCCAAAACACCCATTGAGTATTGTAGTTACTACCGAAGCTGGTATCTATAGAAAAACAATACAAACTTTATAAACATCAAAAAGAAAAAAAGTAAATAGAGAGAAAATTTAAAGTTGCAGCTTTACCTTTGAGCAATTGATATAAATGGTAAATTTGGAAATTTAATCAACTCTAGAAAAGGGAATAGAAGGGTTTGGCCAGTGATTCATATGAAGAGAAAATTTGGAAAATAAACGTTTTGGTCAAAAATAATTGCATGGGTATTTTGGACATTTTCATACCCCCTTTTAGATGATTTTCATAAAGGGGTTAATTTGTAATTATGTCGGAAAGTTTAAGGGAGTTGGTTGCAATTATCAAACTTTATGAGAGGTTTCAACTGACAACCAAAAACTTTAAGGAGGTTTCAGCAATTTATCCTTTATTTAAATGAAGACATATTTTGAAAATTTGAAGAATAATTAAGTTCAAAAAGAATCATTTTATCCAATTTAATGGCAGTACATAATGAAAACGAATTTCCAAAATTTCAGGATATTTTTAATAGGTTTGAAAAATCAAAGGGTACATGAGTATTTCTCGGAAACCGTAATTTTTGTTACAAAATCCTTGGTGATTTAATTGAAATTAAAAAAAAAATAGTGGAAAGGATGAGAGTGGTATTTTAGAAATTAAAACGTTAGAGACGAGATCGGTGGAATCTGCTCCTTACGCAGGGCGCCTTACATCGACTTCACAGGCACATTCCACCATGCATCGATAACATTTTCCCACTTGTTTGTCATTTAAGAGAGATATTCCTAATGTATGGTGACATATACATGTAAAGTCAGTGTGAAGCGCCCTGTGTGAGGAGCAGATCCAGATACCAATAAGTTAGGGACGTTATCGTGGGGATTTCGTCGGCCTTCTTATAACTTTTAGATAATGAGTCATTGAGTTCTGGAAGTGGCGATTCTTTGATAAAAATATAAAAATGAAAATAAAAATGAGGCAGGCAGCGCTTAAAAAGGACGAGAGAATCTCACCTCTTTGCCGTGAGATGCATTGATGACATGTGTTGGAATCCGGCAGGAAGTGGAGAGGTGGGACTTGTGGTGTGGACAGGACGTTTTATTAAGCACGACGGCACGAGGCATTCCTCTTCGGAGCCCTGAAAGGGCGAGAGAAGATAGAGAGAGAGAGAGACCAACTTATATGTCCTATGCCACTCCCATCCAATACATCTATCGTCAATTATTAAAGAAAGAGATGGCCCAAAAGCCCACAACCCCTTTTCTCCTATTTGACATGAATACCCCCTATCAAATTACAAATTCAGCCTCTTGCTGTCATCAGGTTCCCCCCCTTCTTTTTCTCACACGCTTGCCCTCTCACTTTTTATCCATCTCACCTGTGAATTTGTAAATTATTTTTTGAATTTCACTCGAAATTTGCTTATGTATAATTGGGATAATTTAGTTATACCTAACAGATGGTGGATTTCCTTTTTATTTTATTTAGGGTCCGTTTGGTTTGAAGAAGTAAGGGTCTGAAATCAGAATGAAAATTGTTTAATTGGATAGAATTGGAATCTTATTCTCACTTTTGGTGGAATGACATTTTCTCTCCCCCACCCACCCCTTTCTTGGCAATTAATCCCATTCCAGAGCCAAATAGACCGAGAATAGACCATTCTGTTTTCAATTTTGATGGATTTTAATTTTAATTCCGATTATAATCCAAACATTCCCTTAGACATGTGGTTGTTTAATAGAGCAATGTCTCATTTCTAATGACATGAAATTAACTTTCATCAATTACAAAAAAAATGAAGTAGAAGAGATAATGCCCTAGACCTAGAAGGTTGGGATTAGGTTAAAGTTGAAGTCAGTCAATTTGACACTTGAATTTGCTTAATATGAACTCAAAACATACCAAATCCTATGTTGGTAGATTGATAGTAACCCAAAAGGCAAAAGCCAAACAGGGATTAGGGAACCCACTCTAAAATATTGAATTACATTTCGGGTAATACTTTAGGATAGCAAGGGCAGTTTGGGAAGAGTACCATATTTTCTTTTTTCTTTTAAAATCTTTTCATGAAATGCGAAAAGAAAAAAAAATGAAAAAATACTAAACCGGTCTCCGGAACATCAATCTTTGGCGGGTCCTAACATCTTAGTCATTCAAACATGCATAGGAATCCGTGTTTTGCGGCATGTGAAACCCAATGCATGTTGTGAATGGTGTAGATGCTAAGGACCGACCAGAAATGATGGTCCCTGGGACCGGCTTAGCATTACTCGAAGTCGAAGAGAGAAGAATTACAAACCCACTGGATACCTTCAGCTTACCTACTCCGAACTCCGAAGAATCTTTGCGAGCAGAGAATAACAAAATCCCAAAAGCTACAAAAAAATAATAACATATTAATTAATTGGATTATTAAAACGTAAAATATTTATATTCCGCCGAAAGTACGGATGCCGGAGATTCCGACTCAGGTGAGACATATGCCAGCGGTTTACCGACGAGTCGACGAAAACCGCGTCCAGCGAGAGCGAGTGAATCGGATACGCGACGACCCGAAAGTGAGTTTTGTTTGGGTTGTCGAAAACCGGCGTTGCAACCGAATCTTCGTATTTTAATCCTCTATTCTGGGTTTCCAAAACCACCTTTTTTTTTATCCCCGGATTCCGGTTTTTGGGCATCCAATCACTGTGTATAAATCCTTCTCTCTCCAACCCTCTCCATTTCTCGTATAATCTGGCCTCGGTTAGAGAAAAAACGGAGAGATCTGAGTGGGAGAGCGAGAGACACCAAAATGGGTTCGACTTCGCCGGAACTGAGCTTGGATTTTAAGCCGACATATGTCCCCCAGACTATTAGTGGTTTTCTGAGGGAGCTCTCGACAATCGGAGATATTTCCCAGAGGTCGTCGAAGCTTGATGACTACGTTAAGAGGTTAGAAGAAGAAATGAAGAAGATCGAGGCTTTCAAACGCGAACTTCCTCTCTGCATGCTTCTTCTTAACGATGGTCGGTTTATTTTCTTTTGTGACTCTCGTTGTCTTGTTTCGTTTATTTTGGGTTACGGGTTTTTAATTTCAGACGATTTTATATGATTCCTTTCTTGTTTAATTTCTGCTGCAGCTATTGTATCATTGAAGGAGGAAGGAATGCAGTGTACGACATCGAATGTTCGACCTGTGATGGAAGAATTCATTCCGTTAAAGAGAAATTCCGACGAAGATGTAAGAGCGAAAAAGGAAAAAGAGAGCAGAGACAAGAAAAATTGGATGAGTTCTGCGCAATTATGGAGCAGTAGTGGTTATTCTAACCAGGACACCAGTTACGATAGGAATCAAAAATCAGTAGTAGATGGGAAAGAGGTGATAGTGGATTTCTTTTTTATTTAAAATAAACTTTTCTTCGGTGAGTTTGGGAATTTGGTTCAAATGGACATATGTAATCTAATGGCAGGTAACTGAACCAGAGGATCACTCTGTACCTGAGAACCCATTTCAGTCCTGTAAGTATAGGAGCCGGGGAGGAGCATTTATGCCGTTCAAAGGATATACTGGTTTCCCGACAACGCCGTTGAAGGAAGATAAAGAGGTTTTGCCAGTACCCGCACTCTCTCTTTTTACCCCTGGAATTAAAACTCCCAGACATGAACCGAACCCCAGTTGTCTGAATTCGAAGAACAGTCTAGGTAACAGAGCTTTTGCTTCCCCGTCTACTAAACCTCAATCGAATTTACAAACGGCCACGCAGCAACAGCAACAACAAACTTCGAGGAAGCAAAGGAGATGTTGGTCCCCAGAGTTACATCGTCGTTTCGTGAGTGCCCTACAACAGCTCGGAGGATCTCAAGGTTATCATTTAAAACTAAAAATAAGAATTTTATTAACATGAAACCCATGAACAATAACTACTGGAGAATTAATTTGCAGAAAAAAAAAAGATGATTTAAGCAATTATAGATTTCTTCCTTTCTTTTTAACTCTTTCCAAAATAAGAAATTTTAAATTACTTTGGTTAGGAGTTGTAGCCTTGTAGCTATTGAATGAATCAGTGAGAAATGGAAATTAGTGACAGTCATGCTGCATCACATTTTCTTTTTCTTCATTCGAGCTACATCAATTAAAAAAATGTTCTGACAAAAAAAAAAAAAAAAAAAACTAAGAAGAAAAATGTCTGTAGAATGGCTACTTGGCTTTCCTCTTTTCAATTATCTGATTGTCTTTTAAACTTTTGTTGCAGTGGCTACACCGAAGCAGATTCGGGAATTGATGAAGGTCGATGGCCTCACGAACGACGAAGTGAAGAGCCATTTGCAGGTGGGTCTTGAATCTCAATCTCAATATTTTTCTTTTGTTCCTTATTTTATCCTTTTTGGTTTAATTTTCCTTCATGGGGTAATCTTATGTAAATATCCTGTTGTTTCAGAAATACCGGCTTCACACCCGAAGACTTCCTGCCGCCTCATCCCCTGCAAATCAATCAGTTGTTGTTTTGGGAGGACTATGGATGCCCCAAGATCAGTTTGGAGCCTCCTCCAAGCCAAGCAGCGCTTCGCAGTCTGGCTCTCCCCAAGGGCCTCTTCAGTTAGCAGGGACTGCTGGAGGTATCTCCACTACAGGTGGTGACAGCATGGAAGATGATGAGGATAGAAGATCAGAAAGCTACAGTTGGAAAGGCCACCTTCATAAATCAGGCGAAGACGATGTATAGAGACATTCACCATGAATTTTGCAGATAATTACCATTCATGGGGAATTAGATCATGAACAAAACAAATAATACAACATACAGAATTAAGGACCCTCTTTAGAGGGACACAGAGGAGAGAGAGAGAGAGACGGGGGGAGGAGTGACGTAAAGAGAGAGAAAAGAGAGGTTATGAAATTTTGCAGGTTTTACAAACATAGGTTGTAGAAATTTTGTTTTGTTTTCCCTTTTTGTTTTAATTTAGTTTTGTTACAACCACCAAAAAAAATTAATTTTGTTTCTCCTTGTTCCTTTCTCGGTTTTGGTCAGTATGAGGAGGTTCATGTAATACCATTGTGCAGGAAAGAAACAGAAAAAACTTTTCCAAGATCATACAGAGCAGCATTATTTTCCTAGAAAGTTCAGTTCTAGTATGTGGAGATTGATTGGCCAAAAAATTCTGCATGCAGTTGGATAGTTGTGTTTAATGTGTGGAGTTTGTCTGGTCCAGAAAAATCTGCTTTAGCTGGAGTCTTGTTTTGGCCATTTCTAGCATGACCTTGTCCTCAATTCCAATCCTTGGTTGGTCTTGATACATCTTTGTTTTTCTGTTTTCCTCTTGATTGGATGGGAAATGTCATTTTACTTGAAAAATATTCTCTAAATCCACCATTTCATTCTCAGTTTATTGTCTAAGGATACACCAGTTTTTGGATTATGCAATTGCTTTTCTTCTGATGTTTTTTCCCATAATTTCCCAGAATCCTTTTTGTTTTCCATTAAAGGATAGATGAAGTTAAGGTAGTTTATTATCATCTAGAAGCCAAAAGCAATAAGCATTTATGCTTTCTTGGCTCTTTGAAGGTTGATGGATCTATTTGTTTGTGCAAGTGAGAAGACATTCTCTCCATCTGTGAGTTACTTTGAAGTTTCTAAAATGAACCCTGGTAACAAAGCTAGAACAAAACCTACCATGCATCCGCTATTTACAGGAGAACAAGAATAATGCCAGAGCCTCTTTTCTCATGTTGGGGATGTTTATATTCCTACTCAATATGCCTGTTTATTATGAAGAAGACTTGGATCTAATCCAATTGAAGTCAAATAACAGCTTGGTTGGAATCACCAGAGAACCAACTTTCTAGTTGCTTCTTGCAAGTTGACAGCAGCCGTGACCATTCACTTGCCAACCACCTTTGCATCTACATAATACAAATGCTCTCTATCTCCTTTCTAGCAGATGAACTTTAGACCCAATATTGCATCTATTTTTCCTGACATTGTCACATGGAGCCAATATTCCTGGCAGAATCTTCAGGCATTTTGGGAGATGTCCCTTCTCAGTGCTGATGCCAAGTTCAAGACATTCAACATCTCCGGTAAACTCATCACATGCTTGATGAATCCAGATGATTACTTAATCTCTCCCCACAACTGCAGCTTCTCCTTCATCAGCAATCAATAAAGAAACTAATGGATCCAACTCTAACAAAAAAACACTTGATCTCAGGCTCTGAATTTCCTGATCCAAACAACAAATCCTTCTACTTCTGGGAGCATTTTGCTTTTCAGATGCTGCAAGGATTTTGAAAAAGAATGTTCATGACCATCAGTTTCTTTTCCATGGTGTAGAGTCTAGCAACCATCAAACAAGTGAAGCTTTATCATGCCATACCATTGCTACATGTTTTCATAAGGCCTTCTTCCAACTAATAAACTTAAATAATTCTGAACCTACAACTATCTTAAGAAAAACAACACAATCTATAAATTATTAAAGAGTTGCAGTGCCTGTATCACTACCACTTACAGACAATCCTGAGGCATATGCCCATGTACATATAATATGGGGTTTTAGAGATGGACAGAACAGTCGCTTTCATGTAAAAGAAAATGGGCTAAAGTTGAATCTCTTGGACAAGATATTGTGAGCCCACACAAATGGTCCCATTCTAGAAACAAACTGTTATACTGAATATTTGAATGAAAATGATGGGTTCTTAGGATCCCAAAATTTTTTTAAAAAATACTACTACTACTATTACAAATAATAATAATTCATGTGCATCTGCAGTACAATCAGTAGCAGTAGTGGTGGTAGCTGGCACATGATGGTTTATTTACAGGACACAAGAAATGCTTTCTTGGCCACAAAGAACAAATACACCCATAAAGATTCCATCCATCAGTGCTGAAGTTGATTCATATATAATATTTATCCAACTATTTACAATGGCGAGACAAGGATTTGATCATTAATTGGGTTGTTTTCACTTTTCAGTTAAACCCCACCCTAATTTAGTAATCAATCTGCAGACTGCAGCAAATAATTGTTGTACAACTAGAACATAACAGACCCCAATTAAACAATTATCATTGTGGATTGTGGAACAACAGGAGATTTGGGTTCTTGTAGATCAACTATGAAGTTTCTCTCCTTGAAATATAAGTAGATATTGAGATCCCAGTGAATTGGGATGGGTTACTGGGAAACCACAAGAACATTCAGACGAATTTGAATAACATGGCTTCTGGGTTTTTCATCCAGAGCTGGACTAGCACTGGCACTTAGCTAGATCACCAAGTGAGAGTGGTCCCGGATTCTGGTTTTAGTGGTGGCCATGCATGATGGGAACTGGATGCAAACATTTGATGGGGCCCAACCCAATTAGGAGACAAAGAAGACCAAGAATGGGATCAACTAAACCACTTGATTAACTTAATTCATTTTGGGCTTTTGCAGAAAACCCCATCAATGTTAGAAAGAAAGAAATAAATAAGATTGACAATGTAACAGATCAGCCCATCACGCTGCTCTTTTCCCCATCTCTTTGGTAATCTTCTGTGAAAGGGCCCACTTTCATGTGATAACAGACCAGAATTTGTGTTGAGAGACTGAATTTTGGGGTCTTGGTACTTGTACAATATGTCCCTTCTGAGCTTTCCCTTGGATTCTTTTTCCTCTATTTTCCAAGTAAATTTCTTCCACTTGTTTATATAAACAAGAGCCCGTGTATTAAAAATAATGAATACATAGTGCTTCCATATTTTGTGGTTGCAGGTCAGCTGGTGGCATTTTTTATTGGTCAAATCATACACAGGAGAGAGAAAGAGAAGGTCTTCTGAAGGTCTCCCCTTTTACCTTCACATTATTTTTTCTACTTCTTCACTTCTTTTTCTTAGGTGGGAGGAGGAGGTTTGTCGGTCACATTTGTTTGTCAAACAGGAACCCTAAAGCATGAAATAGTTCGGATAACTCATTTTCACTCCCATCTATTTGTACCAGTGCAAATGAAATGACATTGCGCTGCAAACAAGCATAATTTAACTACGGGTCAATCTGAAGATTCTGAACCCAAAGTGCAATATACCCTTTTATCATCTACTAGGCAAGATTACATATCCTGTTAGGAGATCAAATCTCCTTCCCACAAGGGGCCGCCCCACAACGCACCACAGCACATTCCCGTCATGTATTGGGAACATCTCCCGATGATGTTATCATCGATTCTGGTACTATCATCAAGAGATGTTAAAAATACATGGTGGGGATGTACTGTGAGGTGTTGTGGGGCGGAGATGTGAACTCTCCTGTTAGGGGTGAGATGGGGTATGTTTGGTTATGCTGTTACCCCTCCCCACAAACAATCCAGCTTGGGTCGAGCCACAGACAGGACTCTCCAATGAAATGTTGCTTTTTATGAATTCCATGGAACAGTAACAATGCTGAGGATGAATTCGGATTTACATTTGCAGAGCATTCCTCACACCAACAGCACAGTATTTGTGATTGTACGTCATTTATAAAATACTCTCAAATTGTTATAATTCAATTTTTAAAATACCCCTAAAGTCTCATAATTCTATTTGTAAAATATCCACAAATTATATTTTTTAGATGGTTGTCTCAGAATGAGGAAAAATTGGAGATTCCCCATCTTTGATGGAGAATGGGTGGCTTACCCCAAACCCGCCCTACCACGGTAATCAAAACGGGGATGAAGTAGAATATCTTAACTTACAAAAGCGAGAAACAATGAAGGATGTCCCATTCCATGCATTGCACAGGCCCTGCTAGTATTTATATATTGTGATTCATGGGAAGAAGTTTCCAAAGCAAAACCGGATTTGCTGAGGACATAGTTTATATCAACTAATGTGTCACAAGGAGAGCGCTAATGAATAGCACAAGCTGTTGAATCTAGAGAGTCAAAGTTCTATGTATAGTTTAAAATCAAATTAGGTCCTCACAACCCCCCTTGTAGCCGTATAATTCTCTTTTGGATTTTTGAGTTGTCATTAGGTAATCAGGGGGTGGCAATTTAATGGGCTAGGCCAAGAATATAAGGGTTCTGGCCCAGGCCCGTTTTGGGCTGTAAAATTCCCATGAAAACTGCTTTGCAACCTGGGTCGGGCCTGGGTCATACATCAAGCAACTAACAAGCATGCCGGGTGAAATAATTGCAATGATAACGATGATAATGTTGATGGTGATGATATGATGAATTTACACAATGAACAACTAAGCCACATGCTAGTCTTACACGGTGCATGATCTTACATTATACGGCTATATAATATAAATGTACGTAGTTCTTGTATATGTTTGGCATCGATGCTGTATTGTATATGTGTGGGTTGGAAGTACCGTTTTCTGAGAAAATGGTGTATTTTTTTTTGTTTGAAAACGTTGTTGCTAGATAGGATGTTTCCTGGGGCAATAGTAATACCTTCTCTTTGGTACCAGTGCTCCATATCTGTTTTCAACACTGGTACCCATTATAGGAAGTCCACGTCACTGCCACATCATGTCCTCGTTGGCAGCAACGAACTCCAAATTGAGAAAATGTTGAATTCGGTGTTACTCCAGACCACGCCTTCTCAATTTCCAAAGCGTGATTTGAAGCACCGTTTTTATGGAAAAACGGTTCCAAACATGTTACCGTTTTTCTAGAGCATTGATTTTTCCAACGTGGCACTGATGTGTCACCATTTTCTGGAGCAACGGCATCGATGCCAAACACCGCCCTTGTATGCTTGTAGTATTAAATTTATAATGCATGCAATCTTTAGTCCTTGGGATTATTAATATTTATTTAATTTAGATTGTGAAACTTTTTATCAATATGGATTAGTTTCACTCAATAGGCTGTTTTGGCTGCACATGAACTGAGGTCTGTTTGGTTTGCAGTTGGAATCAGAATTGGAATGGTCTATTCCACCTGTTTGGTTCAGATGAGAATTGGAATCAGAATTAGAATTAAAATTAACTGAAATGGATTCTCATTCCCAAGGCAGAGGGGGGAAATGCTATTCCATCAGGAATGAGAATGAGATTCCAACTCTGCCCAATCCAACGATTGGAAATTCGATTCCAAACCCCTATTCCCGCGAACCAAATGGAGCCTAAAAGTATTAAGAGTACCAATTGAGGAAATATATGGGTGTCCTGAATTTTGGACTTACATGACTAGGTATTTATAATCTGTCATTGGAAATCAGAAGGGATGTCTTTTCCTACAAAGACAACTGTTTTTTTTTTTTGAAAAATAGTTGTTTTTCATGGCCATTTTACATAAAACCAAGTACAAGAAAAATATCAATTTCTGTGAAAATCAAATTGTTTTCCTTGATTTGCATGAAACCAAATGGACCAACAAACCATTTGATTGGATGATTTACTTGTTCAATCATTTGTCATGTTCAATTCATTTCAAATTACA